ATTAGAAAGTTAAGAATTGTGATTGGGGATGTTAATCACTTCTGGGATTACTATATCCTAAGGTGTCATATAAAAAATTTAATTTAAATTGTAATTATTTGTTAGTTGTTAATTTAATTTTTTTTGTAACAGAAATTGTTATTCTTATGTAAATGACAATCCTGCAAAATAATTTAAAATCTTCATTTATTAATTTATTTTTATGTTTATGGTCAGTTTATAACATCAAGGTCATCAGCGACCTCTGTCATTATACAATTATGTATACAAATATAATAGTTACAATTATGACAAAAACAAAATGTTATAGTTAATCACATTTTCACAATATATAAGGTTTAGTGTAACTACAGTTCATATACATTATTCAGCTATATAAGGCTGTACAGTTTTGTAGTTGCTAAGAATTTTAATATTTTGGCACACCCATCTGTGGAACTGACTAATGATTTTTTTCCTTCAATTTTTATAAGTATTCTTATGTTATCAGTTGCAAGACATTCAAGAATAAGGTGTGAGGTGGGGACTGCTACTCCACATTTTGGGTTAGGTTCTGGATCTGATCTCTTAAATAGATAGAAGAAATTGAGATTGAAATGCCCTATCCTTAGTCTTGCGATTACAACCTATTCTGTCATCTTTAAATGTTTTCTGTGGAGAGTTGGATCAAGAATGGATTATCTCACTAAATGGAGTTTGGAAACATTCAATTTCTAGTTAAAGTCTCAATAACGGAGGAAGGAGTGATTTACAAACTTTTTAAAGTCTTGGAAAGTGGCAGGAATTTGGTTGTTGACGCTGGTAATTGATGTTGTTAGTTTATGAGCTTTCTCATTGATAATAAGTTTACTGTGCGAGAGGATTCATATTATTTCTATTTGAGTTCCATTTATTTCTTGCTTTTCTAGAATCTTCTGAATTTTTGGGGTAATTGGATTGGAAGTGAATCTGTTCTCAATGGCTTCCAGAGTTGATAGTGAGTCTGAAAAAATTGCAATGGGAGTATCTTTTTATCTTTCACCTGATGTTTCAATTTTCATAAATTAATAATCATAGTGCACCACGTATTAGTGCTATGGTCCTTGCGTAACCTTAAACAGCCTTTCAAATATTTTGGTTATGCAACACAATTGAAATTAGTCTGTAGTTTTCAAGTTTCATTGAAAATGAAATAATAGAAAAGTTACCACATTTACATATTTGGGAAATAAAATATCACTAAAAGGAAAACAAATGGAATGAAAACTAACATAATACAGTAAAACAATTAGATGCAATAAATCATATTCAAATTTTTAATTCAAAGATAAGAATGCACAAAATTATTGAAAAACCCACCTTATTATATTATTTTAAAACTGATATTAAAACAATGTTTGAGAATTTACGATACTATATGTGATCTACTTCCATTTCCGAAATTACAGTATTTAATGTTAGGTCAGCTAGTAACCACCATAATCCACGTTGGCAACATAATTCCTAAATTCTATGATATTTGATGCCCTAGCATTCATTTGAACATCACAATTCTTATGCCAATTGTCGTTGATACTGAGTGCATATATTCATGTTAATGAACCCCAATTCTTGTCATGGAGACCGCAGAGTGGTTGCAGGGACAAGGGCAATGCTACCTCTGAGCTACCTCTTTCGGCTTGATGCATGATGAATGAAAGTAATGCATGAACGCGAATGAGATGGCTCATGGCAGATGTCACTGCAGTCCTTTTGACCTGGAGGTTCCAGTTCGAACCCCGACGGTGGAAGGATTTTCGGGACTAGCTTGTCTGCTAGGTCGAGTTCAGTCGCTGTCTGGAGTAGAATTCTAGCGGCCGGCTGCTCTGATCGGTAGTTGTCCGTGGTTTCGTCGATCAACAACAGGCGATTGCCGGAGCAGTACCCTAACAAACGGGTCACGGACCGCGCGCGTGCGATCTTTCCTTGTTCTTCTTTGTCCTATTCTCTCCTCTTACACACATGCACTTACACTAGCACAAAGGCCGGGAGACCGGTCGGGAGCTTAGAGCTTCTCCCGACTGGAGCGGTGCCCCGCTGGTGGGAGATACCTGGTTGGGGCGGAAACCCCGCTAGCCGACGGTAGGATCTCGCCATACAGCGAGGGAATGACGACCGCCTCCTCCCCCCGAACAAAGAACATGCACTACACTTGCAGGACCAATGACGCTGGCAGTTGAGGTGCGCGTATTCACTAACACAATGTGTCAATGAAGGAACGCAAATGGAGTTGAAGTGACCTGTGTGTGTGTGTGTGCGTGCGCAGGGCGGCGCCGCCGGCGGGGCAGCGCGGGTGGGCCCTGCACACTGCGTCCAAGGCCGCCCTGCGCGCCCTCACCGCCGCCCTGCGCCAGGAGCTGCGCGCCCTCGCCCTGCCCGTGCGAGTCGCCGTGAGTACTCCTCCCTCTCCGCAAACAGCAGTGAGCTTCTGCCATTGGCTAGCAAGTGCATTAATCGTCTCATTGTAGACCATTCCGGACAATGCTCCAAGCATTCAGGATTACCGAGTTCTATTATTATTATTATTATTATTATTATTATTATTATTATTATTATTATTATTATTATTATTATTGTTGTTGTTATTGTTATTATTATTGTTGTTATTTTATTATTGTTATTATTAATTATTAATGTGGTGAGACTGGGGTCATCAGGCCCGGTCTTCCGCCTAACCCACGTAATACGTAAATGTGTAGATTAAAATTGAACAGTATATTTAATAAACAAAATAAAATACAAGTCAGGTATGTCTTGCCTCTGGGCTCTCAAAAGCGAAGGAAAAACAACGTCCCAGGATTTACCTTCAACGGCCGGGGAAAACAAAGGAAGTGTGCATGCTCTTCGGCATTGAGCAACAAAATAAAATATTTTTAAAAAATATTACTGATACAGGGAAACACTAACAGCGTACCCGAAAATAAATCATGAAAAATATTTATTTAGCGATACGCGTCAAATTAACTTCTGCATCAGTTTCAAGAGTTTAGAAGAGATATGAATTTTGATTTTCTCTGACTTGTTTTTCTATAAAAAGAAATACTGGAAATGGGACAAATAAATACTTGGTTCTGCCTCCATTGTTCTTCAATTTAATAATCTACTTCGCTGTAAGTACTGACTTGTCTGTCAGCTTCCAGTCACTAGAGTGAAGGCGTGTTTACCATGTGTGTCGCGTGTCATGGATTTCGAACAACGCGTTAACATTCCTTTGTTTCAAGTTGCAAAAAAGTGCCAATGAAGCTCACGAAATTTTAAAATGAATGTATGGCGATAATATAGAAATTCTGAAGACTGTTTACAAGTGATAAGAGCGATTTAAAAGTGGAAATGAGTCAGTTGACGACGAGCAACGGTGTGGACAGCCTTTGACTTGAAAAACAGAGGATACGAGTAGCATGCAAAAAGGGGCAAATCTTGTACGTGTCCGAACAACTTAGCATTCGTACGGGTCCATACAAAGCATGTTAACCAATAATTTGCAAATGAATCGACCACAAAAATAAACCAATAGCTTATTTCTTCAATGCGACAACGCGCTGTGCCATACGTCGCCTTTGATTCACGAGTTTTTGCCCCCAAACGCGAGTTTGATTCGCGGTTTTTGTTTGTTCCTGTCTGTCCACATTCGCCTCACTTGTATTTAGCTCTATCAATTTGTAGCATTTCCAAAAAATAAAAAGAATGCTAAAGGAAGACGTTTTGCCGCCATTCCTGCTGTTGAGAGGTCCAAGGCACAACAGCTGAAAGCTCTTCCGAAAGAAACCTTCCAGTCATGGCTCCAACGTTGGGGCAAGTGAATTGCTAGCCAAGGACAGTGCTCTGAAGGAGATTAATTCAAATTATTACTTTGTATTAAAACTATTCACCGTATTTTTGATAACACCTTGTATACTTGGAACTTGCAGAACTTAATGATCTGCCATTAGAGGTAACTATCAACATCATCGAGCCTTTTCGGGAATTCTGAATTTGTTAGAAACTGACCAGCTGAGATAAAATGTTCAATATTCAACTTCTGACAAATACATCGATTATCATCCTGGGAAGTTTTGAGAATCAAATGTGTTCTTGATTCCTGATTTTGGGCAGCTGTTAGAACTGCTTCCGATTCTGGCTTCATTCCTTCCCTTTAAAGCCACCCAAAATGTTTCATCTTTATCGATCTGAAATATATACGTTCTTTTTAGATATTGTTCTCGGAGTGGTTTGTCCTTCCACGACTCTGGCACTTTTCACATTTCACGAAAAGTAGCATCAGCAAATCAATGTCAGTGTTAATCTGCGTGTCTTGCATAGCTATGTGGAACTATAGTTTTCTTTGCAATGATTATTGCTATTCTTACAATGCCAGTTTTCACTCCTTCGTTCAAGTTTAATTTCTATACTCATCAGTGAGTAATGGTGATGAGGGACTAAATTATTTTCTATGCCGACTTTTGCATTATATCAGAAGACTTCATTTTGTTGTTGTTGTTATTATTATTATTATTATTATTATTATTATTATTATTATTATTTCTTCAAGTCTCTCGCTTAGCGAGGTGCCTACAGCAGACAGCAGACACCGGTACCTTTGTAGAACCAAGGTGCCTGCTTCGCTTGCAAACTCGGGCGGTCAGTTATATCAATAAAAACTTCCTCACGATGCGTATAGTACTCAGGAGAACAGCCTTTTGCATTGTTTGAATGTGCCAGTTCTTAAGGCCAAGTCTTGCAGACGATGGAATTAGTTCTTCTTCTTCTTCTTCTTCTTCTTCTTCTTCTTATTATTATTATTATTATTATTATTATTATGTTACGTCTGATGTGAATTATTTATCTGACCCGTTTGTATCCGGTAAATTAACTAGGATGTCGCATGATATTTTTCTTGGACATTTTTATGCGCGAAGGTGAATAATAAACCCACAAAAGTTAGTTTTTTTTAACATTTTTTAAAATTATTTATTGCTTTTTTATATCAACGGTGTGCTTAACAGCGTCCCAGAGAAAAACGGGGCCTGGGTTAGTAGAAGAACAGGATTGAATTAGAAGTAAATACATTGTTTTAATTTTTAACACAATTATCGGGGCCCCTGTGAAGTCAGAGCATGGAAGGCTATAGAATTTGTTGGATTCCTCCAAGGCAGAGAGTATCTGCTCTAAGGTCGGAATCTGCGGGCAGTTGGCCCACCTGCTCTCTCTTCTGGTTCTTAACAGATGGCGCTGGAGTCCAGATGTGAAGCTGCCACAGCATTCCACAGCATTGTATTCCGAGTAGCTTTTCCTTTCTGTTACTAGATGGCACGGGGGTGTTAAGTGTAGGTCTTGGCGTCCCCACGGCAATGAATGTAATTTAGTGTGTAATGTCGCTCCTATGTGCGCTCTGTTCGACTTCCTCCAACAAGCGCCAAGTCCGAAAGGTCAATACGACCCCTACGCTAAAGTACATCTTAATATGATTTTAAAAGTTATATTTATCTTTTAGTCGTGTCAACTGCGTTGGTTGTATACTATTGCAGTGCCTATTTAATTTTGAACAACCGTGCGATTAATGTTATGGAATTCATGGTTCAACCGTGTTACGCTTTTTTTCTCGTCACGAATTGGTCTTTTTAAAGATCACGCGAACGTGCAGTTGTACTCACCAAGATCCAGTCATATTTTTTCCTCGCGGTATGCACGGACGAATTTTTATTAGGGAGAGAGGTCAGCATTCGTGCTGAGTCCATTTTTGAGCCCAGTGTTGTTAGCCCTGTACAGAAGCACTCCCATGCCCCAGGCGGGACTCGAACCCGCCATCTTCTGCTGCGGATCCACTGCCTTAGCGATCTCCACCATCTGATCGGCGTATAATTCTTTGTTTTAATTAATGTTGTGATTGTTTTTCAATTGGGCACCTGATAAGAAGACCGAACATTCTCCGCAACGTGTGATGTTTACCAATATTATATTTTTGAGGAGTTTTGTTTTTGTGATTGATTAGTGATCCGTGAACTGCTTGGTTCCGTAAGTGTAGTGATTTTTTCTCCTAGGGATGTGTCGGTGCTCTTCTCCCGTTAGATGGAGAGATCTTGCCCCTACGTACCGTGATAAATCGGGTTTTCCTCTAGCAGGTATCGCCCACCAGAGGCACCGGGACAGGCTCTAAACTCCCGACCGGTCTCCTGGCATTTGCGGCCAGGAGTGTAAGGACGTTTGTAAGGTGTGAGGGTAGGCCGAGGAAGGCTACATTTTTTTTCAACATAGCATTAAATTAGTAAATTATATAATTCATGAAATTTAAATTCATTAAACTCTGTAAATGTTAGCATCTAGGAGTGATCTATTGGATTACGTGAGCAAATTTTGATAATAAGTTTGTGGAGTAATTCCAAAGATTATTATATGCATGGGAGCCGCGGCCAATTCTACCCTAATGTGAAGGCCTTTCCCGGAACAAAAGAGGTGGAAAACGCACAGCGACGGCGACACGGCCGTTCTACTGCTGCAGAGAAGCGGGCCACTTTCTGCGAGATCGTCCGGCAGATAACCTTTCAGCGCACATGTGGAGCAAAAAGCGCACCTGGGTTTTACTTTTATGACGTTTCTCTAGGAGCGCGTTGCGCCTTGATCATCTGGGTTGGCGGGGTTTCCGCCTCCCCCCCCCCCACCTCATAGGATCTCACGAGCTTTGTTTCGGGTCTAGTGGTCGGGTTGGCGCGTTTGAGAATGAAGGTTTCACTATTAGGCAAATCAGTTACTGTGGGGTTTTAAATTGCTTTTATTAAGAACTATCATGTTTACACTATTGAATATTGAACATATTTCAAATGATTTTCGGGAAATACCTTTCGTTTGCGTTGATATAAACGAATAATTTTATTTGCGGCTAAAATAGGCATCGTTGGTATATTTAAGTAGAACGGGAATACCCTGAAGTCTATGTCAGAAAGCTGTTTTCGTTTAAGCATATTTTTTTCTTTTTATATTTTTATTTGTCACATCCTGTTCGAAACAACTTAAACAACTTACTATCGCCTCTAGTCTACAATCGTTGGGAGTCGAGTCGAGTCGAGTCGAGACGGGCCGAATCGAGTCGAGTCGAGTCGAGTCGAGACGGGCCGAATCGAGTCGAGTCGAGACGGGCCGAATCGAGTCGAGTCGAGACGGGCCGAATCGAGTCGAGTCGAGTCGAGTCGGGCCGAATCGAGTCGAGTCGAGTCGGGCCGAATCGAATCGAGTCGAGTCGGGCCGAATCGAATCGAGTCGGGCCGAATCGAATCGAGTCGGGCCGAATCGAATCGAGTCGGGCCGAATCGAATCGAATCGAGTCGAATCGAGTCGAATCGAGTCGAGTCATGCGTCCGGAGCTGCGCCATGGCGTGCGAAATGAGCTGCCTGCTCAGGCGGGTGATGGTGGTGCGTGCGCGTGCGCAGCTGGTGAGCCCGGGGCTGACGCGCACGCGGCTGCTGCTGGAGGCCGCGGGGGCCAGTGCGCATGCGCGAGCCTTCGGCGGCGGCGCCCCCGCCCTCGCGCCGCACGACGTGGCGGCCGCCCTCGACCTCGTGCTGGCGCAGCCCCCGTCCGTCCAGGTAACGCACGCACCCTGCGAATCTCCTACCCACCACCTCACCCACGCCCACACCCTCCCCAAATCCCAGTCTTCCACTCACCTTCCCGCTCCCTTCTCACCCTCCCTCCCGATATCCCACCCCTTCCCTAATGTCACTCACCCACCCACCTACTCACTCACTCTCCAACCAAAGAAAATTGTAAAGTGTGAATATGTGTAGTGGAGAATCCAATTTCCAATAGTGCCACAGCAGAATATGCTAAATTACCCCCACATCAATCTCAGATTTCCTCCAATTTCCCAGTATTCTGAGAGTAAATATTAGGATGGTCACTTGCTGTGCCGCAGGACAGTAAATGTAACTCTGGGTATGTTTTCTTGAACTTCCAATTGGCTGGATGCAAGACAAGTTGGGGATTCAGGCAGGAGTACTAACAAATCGAATGTGCACCTCATTCATAAATGTAAATACTTTCTACTAGTGGCTTGCAGGAGCGAAAACGCTGCTGTGGAGTGTGTAGAAAACGGGGTCCTGAAGCAGAAAAATTGATTGACCTGAAAGGGCGCACATGAATACTGAATGAATCTTTTTTCTTCTTCGTAGCGTTACATCACCTCTATCGCAAACAGTGATGCGGCGAGTATGAGAATATAGTCGTAACATCTGGTACGAGAAATTGCATGACGTAATCTTGTATGAATCGGTCTTCCTGGGCACTTAGACAAATATAGTCCCGTCTCGCTGCTCAGGGGCTGCTTAGTTTCCCACCCGTGTACGCGCGAGCGTTCGAAACAGATGAAGGCAGCCACTCGCCCAATCTCGAGATGCTGTCATGCTCGATTACTTCCGCTCACTGCACTAAACATTGAATGCAACGGGAAACAACCACCAACCCCTCCCCGCCACGTACTCGGGAATCCGGCAGGCCGTCGCTGGGTCGCGCTGTCGCCGAAAACAGAGCAACGAATAGCCGCATTTGTACTTGAGCGAACCTTCTTGCATTTGTATGTTGCCAACAATGCTCGGTGCTGCAGTAACTCTGAACTTGTGCAGTAAAAGAGATTGGACGAATTTCAGGAGCCCAAGAAAACGTACGCATGTTGTACTTCCTGCCTTGTACATCACATTTCAATATTTACTATTATTGACGAGTAATAAATAATTGAATAAGGGAATAAGTGGGCGCGCGAATAAGTGGATGCGTGAATAAGTGGGTGCGCGAATAAGTGGGTGCGCGAATAAGTGGGCGCGCGAATAAGTGGGCGCGCGAACAAGTGGATGCGCGAGTAGAGGCAGTGTTGCAAGTGGCTGTGTGCGTTGCAGGTGGAGGAGATCGTGCTGACGCCGCTGCCCACGGAGGCGCCCGGGGGCCTCCCCCGCACCACCGCCAGGGACGACGACCCGGACGACGCCGCGGCCCCCGCGCCCCTCGCCTGAGTCTCCCCCCCCCCAATGCATCCCGCGCTCACATTTCTCTCGCCCCCGCTCCCCAGATTCCCCCTTAACACTTGCGTTACCTGAGAAGGCACAGCCCGACTGCAGCCCGTTTCGTTCAGCCGGGGTTTCAGAACGACTACACAGTTTTGTGAAGTTTTTATTCATAAATAGAGCAAATATATTCTTACACCAGACCAGAGAAGACTCGAACACATGTGAACATGGCAGGAATTGTGTATGTTGTCAAGTCAGTTCCAAGTTTTGTTTCCTCAAACTTTAAAGCGGGCGTTTTCAACGTCGGCAGTGCTCTAAAAGGGCGTGCATACGTTTCTTGAAAACGATCAGTGGGGCAATAAATCAATGTGATTCTAAGCAGACCAGAGGAAACGCAGAAATCAGTTCTTACACCAAGATGGAAAACGGTAGGAGGGCAGTCGGACTCTGCCCTTTTGGGCAGGAAGATAAACGGCTCAGGAGAAGTTGAGTGCGGGATGCAGTCGGGATAAGCCCCTCTGCACTCGCAGCGGGTCTGAGTTGGGCAAAAGCTGTTAAGGAAGTAAACGTAACTTTCACAGGGCGGTTAATGCGAAACTTGTTATCCATCAGTTCATAAGAACTTTGAGGTCTTATCCCATGCGGCTCAGCGCATCCTGCCAGAGCGCTTATCACGGGGCAGCCGATGTGGCATTAGCGCAACTCTGGACCAAAACGTTCAGCCCTTTCACTTAACGGTCCCCTAACAAGGCCAATTCTGAACTCGGAGAGCACCAAACCAGTGTAAGAAAATAGATTATATTGAAGAACTAATATTGTAGGATATTTAGCAATATTTTACTTACAGATACCGAAATAAGGTTGCTACATATTTATGAGCGGGTCTAGTTGTAAGAGATCACCGAAGTTTTCATAAAACGATTACTCATGGCAACGATTTCGAATTCTTTATAGACATCCGATAAGCAGCTTAAGACGAATCTGTCAATAAGAATGCAGAAAGATTCAAATAATAAAAATCCCAAAACAGTTAATCCTCACCAAAGGTAGAGAGAAAATAACGCTGTTAAGGCTCGAAACACGAAATTCACAGGACTGCGAAAGCGAACCTCCCTATCAGTCAGCTCTTAAGAACTTTCGCGTCTTACATCATGGGTGCAAACTCTGAGAAACCCTCCACCACTGTGAATAAGTGCTGATTTTCTTTCGTAGTTCTTGCATCACAATTTATTTCCCAAACACCAGTGCAAACTTCCTGTAGGGTTATTGTAGCTTGGCAGTTCACCACTGGTATAAAAGTGGAAATAAACTTCCTTCATATCAATGTCAAATAGATAGTAGGTTTAGGTGTAACATAATATGGTATGTGTATTTTTGTTTGTGGAAAAGGTAATCGGGATAAAAATTAATGGTAAAGGAGTCGATAATGTTTATTTAGTGATTCAACGTTCCCAGCACTAGAAAAGTCAAGGTCGAGCGGACATGCTAAATGAACACTCGCTTACGACAGAAATATTGAAAAGTGTCTTGCATTGATACGGGAGTAGTGGTGGAGGGGTGGTTGTAGTTGTCGAGAAATCTTGTTTTCTGTAATGTAATATAAGGTGGTGGTAGATAATAATGCTTGCGAGCGAATTAAATTTGTTTTTCATGCGTCAAGAATTGAAATCAGAATATAAAAAGTGGCACTTCAGCTCGCCTTAATATTACATACCTTTTCCTTATTACTTATGGTAATCCGTATGTACGCACATATACGGGAAAGTAAAAAGTTGTTTCTGTTTTAAGAGGTCATCTTACAAATCATGAGATCCTAAATCTTAAAGAAATTGGATCTTGAAATTGAAATTTTGGAAATGTGAAATTAATAATTTTAGTTTGGTATTTTTATGTGCTTGATGTAAGTTAATTATGACTTTATTTTCTTCTCGAAAATAGTAGATTTCTAACAAATTTCCATTTTATAATTGAGTTGTGCATATTATGCACTTTAAAACTCAAGGTAATAAATGATTAAGTAAAATTGAAAGTGTTGAAAGAAAGTTATATTTCAACTACTTTAACTAACCACTAAACAACATTTTGAATTTAAAGATTCTGACTCATCGAAAATGAAATTTAATCAACCAATAACGAGGTAAAATAAAGTATGTATTCAGTACTTACTAAACAATTATACTACAAGATGTCGTAACATATACGAACCTCATTGGTGAAGGTGGATCCTGGTCAGAACAGAAGTAGTATTTAAGTGAAGAATTTGGGTTTAAAAACATGCTTAATATTGATCGTTTTTGGAGTAAGAATTATTAAAAGGGCCCATATGTGTTAGGTTCTGTCAATAATTCAACTATTCTGTCAACTACTATTATTGTTATTGATTTTATAAAAGGTTATAAATTACAGATATAAAACATTCGTAGATTTCGATGTGTGACAGTATTATAACCTAAAAACAATATGTACGAGTTGTTCAATTATTTGCTATCGTACAAATATGTCATATTTCAATGTCATAATTCATTTTGAACATGATGTATTCAAGTACGTATCTTTATATTTCATTACTCATGAATTCAATAACCAGTGCATTGTTCAATACTCAATTGTGAAGATGTTCTTGAAAGCTGTGTGTAAAGTTCTTATTTAATACTAGTTATTGTGGAATGAATTTGTCTTGTATTTTATTTCATATCAATTATTAATAGTCTGTTGATAGTTTTTTGGAAATAAATTCTACTTACCTGTTAATAAGCTTCCGTTATTATGTTCGTAATTCTTTGCGAGTATCTGCGCGATCTTTTTTGAAAAAGTGGCAATGAAACAAATGTGAGAATGCTTAAAAACAGAATTGGAAAATATTTTTAAAAAGGTTGGTGATTGTAATCCCGATGTTTAGGAAAAGGTTTTTTTTCTTTCTAAACTCGTTATACCTAGATGAATGATCATTTGATGCGTTTGGATGATGACTGGACTGAATAAAATGGTTTGCTGTTGCATTCGACGTCAACTTCTCTCTCTCGCCCAAGATGTTGACATTTTGAATTTTCACATAGTTTTCTGAATGTATCTACATTTTTCTTCTACATTTCTTTGTCATTTCGCATTTCATAATTGCAGTACAAACAAATAATGTTGATATTTTATTGAATTTTTTAAATGCTTGTTTTTATGTTTATTGTTTTAATAGATTTAGATTTTTACACAGGTGACTCCAATTGTTTCATTAACGGTTATCGTTTGTCACCGGAATGAGAGTAATAATTCTGTGGCCTCTACAAATAATTTAAAAAATACGTTTGGATTACGCACATCATCTCGAGAAATCTGCATATTTATGAAATATTTGTCTCTAAACTTTTATTTTTTGCATTTATAGTGATATACCTCTAGAGTGACCTCAATTTTCTTGTAAAAGTTTTGGAGAAACTTTTGAACTCACGCTGAAATGATCGATTCATGATTCGATATTATACAGTGTCTCTTAATTCAAGACCTTAGCTCTAGTAGATAGTCAAATATCATCAGTCGATGAAATTAGATTATTGTAGTGACGTAGTAGCTATATAGAGTTTTAAATTTTGTGCAAGTATTGTGGTACTGATGTGACATACGTATGACGTGCTAAGGAGACATTTCTGCTTCACTTTGTGGCAAGGAATGTTTGTAATTATTTAAAGTCGAATACAGTTAAAAACTATGCGCTGCACTGACTGGAAGTGCAATATTCGCTTTATTTCTTGATCTCTAGGATCTGTTGTACTCATAAACATATTAAATTGAGTTATGGGTAAATGTTAAAAAAAAGGATTGAAAAATGATTGAAACCTGTATCCTCTTTCTGTGAAAATGAATTTGATACGACTTAGCACTATTTAGAGTCAAAACCTATTACAATGACGAGAACATTGTACATACTCTTATAATTGTAAGAAGAAATTTGGTGCAACCCTGTTGAAAGTTTTCGTTGTTGGTGGTCTTATAGTAGTGCAAAACCGCTTCTGTTGTCCATTTCGCTGAACAGTGAGGTTGCTTCCATTCTTCATATCAACAGACCGATCTGATTTTTAGCGATCCGCGATTTCCGCGATCTACTGAACAAAATCTGAGATGACCCTTGGTTTTCTTTTTTTTTTCTTCT